ACAGTTATTCAACCAATACATATTTAACTCTCATTTCTTCTCACCTCTCTCATGTTTCCTAAGGATCATTTTCCTTTAGTTTAAAATACATCATTTCCTTTACTGAGGGTCTTTTGAAGGTTAATGCTCTCATTTAATTTGTCCGTCAATATATTCTGTACTCATTACCATTAGATAACTTCATCTAATATAGAAATATAGGTTGACAGGTTCCCCCTTTTCCCCCAGAACTCTGAAGATATTATTCACCTATTTTCTGGTTTCTACTGTTACTGATAAGTCAGCCACATTCCAAACTGCTGCACCTTTATGAGTAACCCAAACTTTCCTTTTTGCTGCTTTTTAAAAACAACCTTGCTGACATATAACTGACATAGAATAAAATACACATATTTAAAGTTTACAATTTGGTTAATTTTTGACACATGTATACAGTCATAAAATCACCACAGCCAAATAATAAACATTATCAAGCACACATAAAAATTCCTTCATATTCCTTTGTAGTCACTCCCTACCCCCTTTACATCCATATTCAGGAAACCACTGACCTGATTTCTATGACTGTAGTTTCCATTTACTACAGTTTTCTATAAATGGAATCACACAGGATATACTGTTAATGTCTGGCTTCTTTCACTCAGGATAATTATTTAAAGATAACTTCCATGGTGTTGTGTAAATCAATAGTTCATTCCTTTATAAGCTGAATAGTATACCACAATTTGTGTATATACCACTGATGTACATTTGATTGTTTGCACTTTCGGCCTAATTATTATATATAAAGCTTTTATGAACAGTCATACACAATTACTTGTATAGACATATGCTTTTGCTTCTCCTGGGTAAAACACAGGAACAGCAAGACTGAATTTTATATTAGGTATATCTTTAAACTTTAAAAAATGCCAAAATATTTTCAAAATTGGATATACTACGATATGATCCAGCAATTCCACTTCTAAGTATTTAGCCCAAGGAAACAAAAAAAACCTAACTCAAAAAGATACCTGCACTGCCATGCTCACTGAAGCACTATTTACAATAGCCAAGCCATGGAAAGAACCTAAATGCCCACTGATGAATGAATGGATAAAGAAAAGGTGATCTAGATATACAATGAATTCAGCCATTTAAAAAAAAAAAAAGGAAATTCTGCCATTTGTAACAATAGGAATGGGTCCTACAGCATTACGTTACATGAAATAAGTCAGAAAGAGAAAGACAAATACCATATGGTCTCATTTACATGTAGGATCTAAGAAAACAAAAACCAAAAGATAAACCAAATTCACAGATACACAGAACAGACTGGTAGTTGCCAGAGGTCAGGAGTGAGAGGTAGAGAATATGGGTGAAAGTAGTCAAGGTACAAACTTCCAGTTATAAAATAAGTCCTGGGGATTTATTGTGCAGCATGGTAAATATAGTTAGTAATACTGTATTGTATATTTGAAAATTATTGAGAGTAAATCTTAAAAGTTATCATCTCAATAAAAAAATTATAATTACGTGTGGTGTAAGATGTCAAGACTTCCTGTAGGAATCATTTTGCAAAATAAATATATATTGAATTATTGTGTTATACAACCAAAAATAATAGTGTTATATATGTCAACTGTTATAACTCAATTTTTAATTTAAAAATTAATCTTTTAAGAAGGTAGATATACTATTTAAGATTTCCACCAGTACTGTTTAAGACTTGCAGTTCCTTCATGTCTGACATTTGGTACACTCAGTCTTTTTAAAAAATTTTAGCTGTTATTCATAAGTGTAGTGATTTCCCTAATGACAAATTATGTTGAGCATTTTTTCATGTATTTAACATCTGTATGTCTTCTTTAATGAAGCATCGCTCAAATCTTTCACCCATGTCTCTACCGTATTGTTTACTTATTACTGAGTTTTGAAAGTTGTTTATATTTTCTAGATACACGATTTACCAGATATATAATTTGCAAATATGTTCTCCCAGTGTAATGAATATTGTGCACACTTTAAGCAGTATCTTTCAAAGAGCAGAATTTTATAATTTTGAGGAAATCCCATTAATCATTCTTTTCCCTTTGGTGTCCTATCTAAGAAATTATGCAAGGTCATAAAGATATTCTATTTTTTCTTCTGGAAATTTTATACTTTAAAGTTTTACATTCAGGTCTATGATTCATTTTGAGATTTTTTTTAATATAGTGCAAGATATGGACACAAGTTCTTTATGTATGGACAGCTAATTATTCTAGAACCATATTTTAAAAGACTATCATTTCTCAACGAATTCCCTTTGATTTTTTTGTCAAAAATCAGTTGTTCACGCATGTGTGGGCTTATTTCTAGATTCACTCTGTTCCACTGATCTATTTGTCTACTTAATGACAATAGACACTGTCTTGATTACTGCAGCTTTTTAAGTCTAGAAATCAAGTGGTGTTAGTCTTCCAACTTTGTTCTTTTATGAAGTTGTTTTGGATCTTGTAGGATCTTTGCATTTCCATATGAATTTTAAAATCAGTTTTTCAACTCAGGATTTTGGTTGGGACTGTATTGAATCTCTAGATTAGTCTGGAAAGAACTGACATTTAATACTACCAATTCTTCCAATACATGAGCAAAGCTTTTTTCTCCATCTATTTAGCTCTTCTTTAATTTCTCTCAGGAATTTTTTATGGCTTTCTGTGATAAGTTTTACATATTTTTGATGCTATTGTAAATAGTTTTTATATTTCAATTTTGCACTATTTATTGTTAGCATATAAATATACAATTTTTTGGCAAATTCATCTTGTATTCTGCAACCCTGATAAACTCAGTTATATGAACTCTTTTCTCGATTTCACTGAATATTCTACATAAACAATTATATTGTCTACAAATATAGTTTTATTTATTTTCCAATCTGGATGGCTTTTATTTCTTTTCTTGCCTGACTGTGCTGCCTAAAACCTCTAATACAACATTGAATAGAAGTGGTAAGAATGGACATAACTTTCATCCAACTTTTAAAATTGTGATAAAATATACATTAACATAAAATTTACTGTCTTAACAATTCAGTAGCATTTTTGAGTGTACAATTCAGTAGCATTAAGTACATTCATATTGTGTAAAACCATCACCACCATCCCTCATGTAAAACTTAAACTCTATACCCATTAACAGTAACTCCCCTTTCCCCCATTCTTCCAGGCCCTGGCAACCACCATTCACTTTCTATGATTCTGACTAAGTACCTCATATAAATAGAACCATACAGTATTTGTTACAGGTTTATGTTACTTAGCATAATGTCCTCAAGGTTTATCTATGTTTTGCATATCAGAATTTCCTTCATTTTTAGGATTCCAGCCACCATGGACTTCTCTGGACCCAACTCTGGGAGTCCATTGGTTCCTCTTCCTATAGTACAATCTGGATATTCTCCGAAACTGGAGTAATCACTGGACTCATATCAATTGTTTTCCATGCTTTGCCTGTCCTTCACTGCCTAAAAAACACTGTTAGCTACTTTTGTCTTTTTTTTTGGTTATTTCAGAAAGAAAGTAAATCCAGTCTGTTATTCCAACTTTACCAAAGCAGAAGTCCAGTATGGCTGCGTGTAAGGTTTTTTGTTTGGTTGGATTTGTAATGCTCTAAAATTTCCCTGCAATATATAGAAAATGTATTGGCTTTTTTTTTTTAAGGTTCTTGTTTATTCCCTGTGCTTCCTGGAACTAATTATCAGTATCTTTCAATATTTCTTGAAATTTCTGTTATTATATCTCTTGAACTGCCAGTTTATCTCTGTTAAGTCTTCTGAGCTCTAATCAGTCAAAATAATAGGCTGGTAAATTCTGAATGATTTCTTTTCTGTCTAAGTTCCTGACTTTTTCAATGCATTTGTTTTTTCAAAAAAATATATACTGAGAACCTGCTATGTATCAGACACTATCCTAAGTGATACATAAACAAAAATAAGTAAGAAATTAAACCTGCCCTCTAGAATACTGGATACTGAAGTCTAGAAGAGGAGAGAGTGCAGACATTTGTAATACAATGTATTATGTTTTCTGATCAAGCTGTTATGGGAGCAGAGAGGAGGAGCACCTAACTCAGAATCATTGGGAAGGTCAGTTAAGAGTATTTCTCAGAGAAAATATAGCAGAAACTTAGAGATAATAGGTTATACAGTATTAATATTATAACTTGGAAAATAAATTAAATAGCTAATATAGTATAATTAACATACAATTTAAAAAGAAAAACATTCTACTTGTATTTATGTCTATAAAATATTCTAATAAAAATAACTAAAAAATTAAGAATTCCCAAAGTCTGAAGCTTATAAGGCCCTGTATGGTCTAGATGTCTCCAGCTTACTCTCATATCACTTTCCTTCCAGCTCTCTTTAATTCAATCTAAGCTTTTTCAGTTCCCCCTATCTCACGCCGTTTTCTGACTTAGAGACCTTTATTCACACTGCTTTTTGTGTAAAATGCTCTCAACTTACCCCTCTATGCCACTTACCTTTTTGCCTTTTAAACCACTCCTTCAAAGTTCAACTCAAATGTCACTTTCTCAGAGATACCATGCCTCTTCTGGACTAAGTAAAATATCCTGAGGACTTCCTTAGCATCACATGTCCCCTTTTAACGTAATTCATCATACTTAAATCCTTATTCAATATGTCTTCACCAATACTTTAAAAACTCTGAGTGCAAGAACCATGGTTGTGTTATTTACCACTGCCTAGACCTAGCACTTAAAAATTCAATAAATATCAGTTGTACTAACTAACTGTACCTGACAGTTTTAAACAGTTTTACTTTAGGATGAGCAAACTGATCTTGGTTCCCCTCCTGACCACCTAAAATAAAGAGGGCAATCACAGTTTTTAAAGCTATCAGTTCTGTTACTAAATATAAGACTGGACAAAATACCTCATTTTTAGTTTCATAAATAAAAAATACTCGATATAGTTTGATCACTCAAAAAATATGTACTTTATTAAAAGAACTTACCAGAATATTTTTCTTATGTCGTTTCTCCTTTATATGTTTATGAGCTCCCTGGATGTTTTCAATGTGAATTAAGCAAAGTTTGCATAGGTATCGGCAATTGGTATATTCTGGTGAGCGCTGTAAAGTTAAAAAATGCATTTTTTTTCAGAAAAACAATTTTTTCAGGAAATTTTAGAAGTAAATTTTTTACTATATATGTGAGTGATATAATTATGTAGAGACAAAAAAAAAACATTGAAGATGTAAGTTTTTAATAAATGAGTACTTACATATACAAGAGAGTTGTCCCTTTTTAAAAGTCATCATAAGAGATCATATAATTTCCAACAATATCATACAATTTTCAACAATATCATGATAATGCTAAATGTGTTTGAGACTTATCTAACATATAGTCTTTAGAATCCAACAGAAGATAAGAAAGGCAGTCTTATTACTTACTCTTAAAAACTAAGTAAAAACTCTGAAAAACTGGTTTCAAACTTTGTCTTTTTGATTACTATAAAAAAGTAAAATCCACACTCCTAATAGGGTATTTCAAAAAAATGAACTGCAAATATGGAAGACAAGTCCAATAAGCTGCTTGCGAAAAAACTCTAATCAATCACCTCATGGGAATTAAGGGACAACCCCCTTGAGGTAACTACTCTAAATGGAGCAATTGTGACATATGGAAGTTCTCAGTCACAGTACTTAAAGTCATACTTTATATATGTATTCTTGAAATAACTTTAAAAAGCTGAATTCCAAAGTTCCTGTTATGTGTCTATGCAAAGTGCTTCTAATTTGTCATTCAATTTGTCATTCTAATTCCCCTAAGAATCCAATTAAGATTGGTATTATCTTCATTTTAAAGATGTGAAAACAAAAGCTCATAGAGCTTACAACTTCCACAAGGATACAACACTATTAAGTGGGAGATGCTGAATTTAAATTCATGTATATTTGAATTTAAAGTCAACACTCTACCCAAGATGGCACAATAAAAAATTATAAAAACACAGTAAATACATGATGAATTTTAAAATTTTATTTCTAATATCTTCACCACAAATGCAGCACTGCTTAATTTTTATCTTAGATTGATCTTCAACAGGCTGCAACTCTTGACAAAAAAGATTCTTACTTCATGATTTTTTAAAAATGAGAAACCTACCCCAAATTTGTCAACAGTCCTGCCCCCAAAATAAATAATGCCATCACTTATAGATTATCTATTAACCTTATAACAACCCTATTAGGATTCCCCATTTAACTGGCACAGCAAATAAGTCTCAAGGATTAAATAATTTGCCCAAAGCAACAAATAAAAAATTAATCTCAATCTAGTCATCCCAATTCTTTAGTATAAAAATTCTTTCAAATCTGTCCTTATTGGGGAATAAATTAAGTCCTTACAGAGACTTCTACCTCTTAATTTCCAACCACAATTAGTTTATAATTCATCAAATACTTTCTGAGCATGTACTGTTATGTCAAACATTTTTCTAGGAGCTGGGAACAAGAGTAAATGAAACAAATGAAAATCTCTATCCTTAGGAAATTTATATTCTAGTGTAGGGAGATAGATAATAAACAAATGCACAAATAAAAAGAAGTGGGGACATTATTAACTGCTTTTTTTAATTAGTGTCATGACTTAATACCTTATTGATAAAGTAACTTAAGGTGAGTGAAGGATTGATCTGTGTGGATATTTGGAAAGAGACTTTGCAAGAAAAGGGAAATGTGAATGTTAAGGTCCTTAGGCAGAAATTTGCCTAATATGTTTGAGAAACTACAAAGAGGCAAGTATGACTGGAAGAGAAAGGTAATGGTGGCCAGATCACAAGGTCCCACATAAGAACTCTGGCTTTTATTCTAAGTGTAAGGGGAAGGCACTGAAGGTTTACAAGCAGTGAATTACAAGATCTGATTTATATTTTAAAAGGATCACTTGACTTCTGTATTAAGAACAGAATCAGGAAGAGCTTATTACTACCATAAGCATACTCCAATAATGTGGAAGAGAGATAATGCTGGCATGGTCAGGGTAAAAGTGATGGAAGTGGAAAAACATCAGACTCAGGAGGTGAAAACATAAATACAGAATATCTAAAACCATGAATATTGATGAGGTCACTAAGGGAGTCATGAGATCACTCACAAGAATTTTCCAATTGTAAAATGTTACAATTACAAGGATATGTTTGGATTCTCTTAATAAAAAGAGCTTAATACTGTATGGGGAATCAGAAGGTTTGGGATGACATCTCAACTGACACTCATTGGAACCTGCTTCTATATCCTTAACAAAAATTGCCCTACCTGATAAAACAATCAGTTCCACAAGAACTTAACCTTTATTTAGCACTCACTAAATACAAGGCACTGTGCCAAAATACATGTATCATTTTATTTAATCCTCATAACAGCCCAATAAGTTGGGTGTTATTTTTATCGACTCTATTTTAATGATAAAGAAACTGAGGTTTAAAGAGGTTAAATAATTTATCCAGTTACCCAACCAGTAAGGGGCAGAACTAGACCCAGTGACTCAAAAACCTATACCTAACCACTAAGCAAACTACGTCTAATTACTGACCAACTACTGTGTGCAAGGCACTGTATCAGACACAGCATCAAGTAACACAAAATTGTTCTCACCATCATGAAGTTTCTAGTTTCACAGAAGAGACGCATGAAAAATATTTTTTAATTCCTTTATATTTTATTTTACCATTATATTTTACTTTTTATTATTTTATTTTAGTTATAAGATTTTATTTTACCATTAATCAAAAACACTAATAAAACTTCAAAGTTTCTGAAGACCAGCTAGAATAAAGATTTCTGGGCATGGAAATTCTAAATATTTCCTAGTTACTCTAAGGAAATTTACCCTCTGATCTAATAATTTGAATTTATTCTTTTCTTGGTGAAAACTTACATTTTTACTCTCCAATTATATAATCTATGGGTACACTATGAACCAAAGGACCTGATGAAATCAAAAGCAAGTACATAAGACTATTCCTAATTAGCGTCTAATGTTGATAAAGAAAAATGTTAATTACGAGTATACTGGATTGAAAATAAGAGGTTGAAGGGCATTGAGAAACAAAGAGGTAACTAAAAGGAAAGGAATTATAGACATCTATGTTAGTACTGGCACACATATTTTACATCACTGTTGCCTAAACTGACAACAAATAAAATGTCTTCCAAGTTTCCTAGCTTTTCCTTCACCCCAGGCCACTCTTTTCTACCAACATTGAATATCCATTCCACCCCAACTTCTTCCTTCTCCCAAGACTAAACTTTCCTGTTTCATATTCTATGTATCTTCCCATTCAGTTCCCTGCTTATTTTCCTCAAAAACACATTTTTCACACTTCCTTTATACATGCCATCACCTATACCACCCTTCCTCAACCCACTTGGTCAACTTCTAGCCACTCCTTCAAACTCAGTTCCAATGTTGCCTCCTTATAAAGCATCCCAAAAACGAGGCCTTCTATGCCCCAACTCAAGTTGGTTCCATCTCTAAGATCACAGTTTCAAACAACAGTATCATTACTATTATTATTCTCTTACATGTTTTTCTCTGATTGGTAAACTCCTAGCAAAGAAGTATCACGTTTTTTAAAATGCCATGTATGCCCCAATTCAACTTTTAGCAGCAGATCATGGTACATGAAAGACACTCACTCAATATTTACCCCGACTATGATAGATCTCTAACATCTACTAATTTCAGGCTTAGAAAAGAGAAAGTGAAAGGAAAGACAGAACAAAGTGAAACAGCAAATTGCAAAAAAAACACTTCCTTCTAACTAGACTCTTGTGAGACTAGCTATACAACACAAACCTCTCTCCTATGTCATGGGCCTCTATTCCTTTCCATTCCTTTCTATTTTTATAAGGTAACTACTCTCTCATAAGTTCTATTAATAACCCAGGGATTTCCTTCTTCAATTTAGATATGACCTCATTTTTATAAACTATACAAAATCATACCATTTCTTTCTTATTTATCAAGAATGATGACCTATTTCCTTATATGTATACTCACAAATATCCCAAATATCTATTTGTGAATACATGATTTATAATTCTACCCTTTAATACCTAGCAGTGTTTTATTCTTAAGACTAGGAATGTGCTCTTCCAGATTATTAATTAATACTCAGGAACAAGATACTAGTGGCTAGAACAGTTCCTAATGTACAGTAGATATCCAGTGAATAGGGGAGAAAAAGGAGAAAAGGGGAAGAGAAAAGCAAAGATAAAAGGTAGAAGTCTAATACATCATGCAATATTTGCTAATTTATTTCTGTCACTTTGAATGAACTTAACTTCCAAAGGGCAGAAAGTGTGCCATTTTCACCCATATATCCCCAGTGCCTGGCATAGTACCTAGAATATAACAAGCACTCAGTATCCATTTAATAAGAGAATAAATCAGGGGTCAGCAAACTTCCTCTGTAAAGGGACACAGTAATATTTAGGTAAATATTTTATGCTTTGGTAACTAGTAAATATTTTATACTTTGTAGGCCATATACTCTGTAGCAACTACTCAATTCAACTCTGCCATGGTAGCAAGAAGGCTGCCAAAGATAATAGGTAAACGAATGACATGGCTGAGTTCCAATAAAACTTCCCTTACAAAAACAAGGGGCTAGGATAAAAAAAAGAAATCCTGTCATTTACAAAAACATGGATGGACCTAGAGGGTATTATGCTCAGCAAAATAAGCCAGGTGGAGAAAGACAAATACCTATGGTTTCCCTTGTTTGTGTAATGTAAAAACAAAGCAAAACAGAATAAAAAAAAACAACAGTAGACTCAGAAAGGTGACTAGCGGTTACCATGGGGGAAGGGTTGGGGTGGATGGATAGGGAATGTGAGGGGGATAAAGTGGCACAAAAATTCTCAATCATAATGTAAGTTGGTCACAAGGATAGCACAGCCCAGAGAATATAGTCAGTGATTCAGTTAACATCTTCCTATGTTGACAGATAGTAACTACGCAAGTCGGGGTGAGGATTTAATAATATGGGTAACTGTTAAAACACTGTGCTGTGTTACTTGAAACCAATTAAGACTGTATAGCAATTTTACTTCAATTAAAAAAAAACAGGGAGCCAGGTGTATTTTACCATAATTAAAAATACACACACACAGAAAATAAATAAATAAATAAATAAATAAATAAGTAAATAAAGAAAGAAAGAAAGAAAGAAAGAAAGAAAGAAAGAAAGAAAGAAAGAAAGAAAGAAAGAAAGAAAGAAAGAAAGAAAGAAAGAAAGAAAAAAAACAGGGCAGAAATGGAAAAAAATAAAGAGCTCCACCCTGTGCTCTGGGTTGCCTGGGATTCTAGTGCTTGATCTGCCAGCATGGGAATAAAGTTGGGAATAAATGCTTCCAACCCAAGAATGTTCCTGTGGATAAAGTGAAGATTCCCATGGTCAGGATTCTCACCTGGCCCTGGTCGGCTAGGTCACTACACACGTGTGGGCAATATGCTGTTATTGACTGCATATAAAAGAGCTCCACCCAGTGCTCTGGGTGTGACATGGTGGCATGGCTGCAAGGCTGCAGGAGAGCAGAGGCTGGAGNACCTATGTAAAATACTAGTAAGAGATACAGAGAGTTTCAGAATACACAAAGAAAAATCAACTTCATGGGTCAAATGACAGTCTTGTTCTTCCAACTTACCTATCAAACGAGACAAAAATGACTGAGACACATTACACGAGGCTAACATAACCATCTTGTAGAATCTTTGAAGTAATATGATAAAAAGCTATTTTAAGTCCCAAGATAAGATACTGTACTAAAGTCACATTAGTGACTCTATCACTCTACTAAAAGAACATACATACTCCAGACCACAAAACCATACCAGGCTCCTTCTTTGCTTTCATTTAACTCTTGGGTTATCTCCAAAACATCAATATTTTTTTCTTTGCTTCTCTGCCTCCTAACTAGATCATAATCTCTTCAAGATATAGACTATGTGCTTTCACCTTGTATTTCCAGCACCTAGCAATATGTACCTGGAACACAGTAGGTTCCATCACAAATGTGACTTTTTTAATACAAATTGAATCAATGCTATCCTCCTGTTTAAGTTACTTAAAAGGCTTTCAAAGAGTTCAGAATAAAATTTAAATTCTCTATCATAACATAGTCCTCACCCTCATGAAGGCAGTAAACAAAATAAATACAGTAATTCCAAGTTGCAGTAAATGCTATAAAGGAAAAAAGCAAATGACTGAGAAGGAGACCAACAGGAGTCAGGGAAGGCTTCTCTGAGATTTTTAGGCCAAGACTTCAAGAAATAGAGCTAAGCTGCCTCTATCTCTAACCTTATATCCTCCCCTAACACTTTTCACTTCATACCAAATGTGGTAGAATAGATCACTGCTACTTCAAGTCTCAATGTCTTTACATATGCTGTTCCCTCTATTATCAAGGCCCTCCCAGCCCTCTCCATGTCAATTAGTTAACTTAATCTGTCCTGCAAAATTCAACTTAAGCATCACCTGTTTCAGAAGACAGCTGATATTCTTTATATTCTCATAGTACCCTCTATTATCTCATATTTGCATAGTAAATGTAATTTGTATTCATTATCTCCTACATTAAACGATGAATTCCTTGATGTAATGACCAGGTCTTATTTTAACTTTGTACCTTCAGATTTGAATACAATGCCTGACCTAAGAAAACATTTAATGAAAGTGTGTTGAATAAATAATTCTGATATATCTAAAAGCAATTCTAAAGGTAAATGCTCATAGAAATCAACAAATCTCTCCACTGCACCCTCAAAAGAACCTGCCACCTACAAGAACTCTGATAGTCAATTCCGCCTTTTGATAGCACTTAATTTCTGAACAAAGAAGCAATGGTGTGCTCCCAGAGGTGATGTGTCTCCTACCACAAGAACACAGAAGTTTCTGTAATAGGAAGGCAGTCTTAAAGATGTTATAAAAAGGATTCAAACAGAAAAATAATTATTTTTTAGTAATCATTTTATGATGGAAAAAGATGAAATCCTAGTTTTATTTCCAGATTTCATGGAAAAGGATAGTATAGCAAGACAACATACTATTCTAACCTTCTTTTTTTTTTATGTTCAACTTGCCCCGCATGACAAGGCAACTACATCACAACTCCTGTAAAATTATCATTCCTGAATCAGAGAATCAGAGAAAGCTATGTATGTTTCTTTAAAAGTCAGAAATAAGTGAAATTATTTAATTTTCTGAAATCAATATAAAAGTAAAATAACATCAGGCAGAATTTCCTAAACATTGTTCCATAGAGTCACAGCTCTGTGAGATGTTAATATTCTCACAAAACAACAGAAGTTGAAAAACCATATTCAAACAAAACACTGTACATTGTACATGAATACTCACAGCAGCCCTATTCATTATAGTCCATCACTGATAAATGAATTTTTTTTAATGTGGCAAATTTATATAATAAAATATTATTAAGCTGTCTTAGCTCAAAATACCATAGACTGGGTGTCTTAAACAAGAGAAACTTATTTTCTCACAGTTCTGGAGGCAGCGAAATCCAAGATCGAAGTGCCAGGAGGGTTGATGTCTGATGATAGCTCTCTCCTTGGACTGCATACAACCATTTTCTCATTGTGTTCTCACATGGCCTTTCCTCAGTGCACACACACAAAGTGATGACCTCTCTCTTCCTCTTGTTATAAAGTCTCCAATCCCATTTGACTAGGACCTCACCTTTATGACCTCATTTAATCTTAATTACATACTAAAAGCTCTCATCTCCAAATATAGTCACATTAGGAGTTGGGGCTTCAACATAGGAATTTTAAGGGGACACAATTTAGTCTATACTCTTAAAAAGGAAAGAAGTGCTGTTACATATGATAACATAAATGAATTTGAAAAAACAATGTTTAATGAATGAAGCCAGACACAAAAAAACTCATATTGTGTGAGTCCATTTCCATGAAATATCTACAACAGACAAATGCATAGAAACAGAAAGCATACTAGTGGTTGTTAGAGGCTGAGAGAAGGGTGGAATTGAGAATGACTTAATAGATATAGGGTTTCCTTCTGGGTGATGAAGAAGTTCTGCAATTAGAAAGAGCTGTACAATACTGTAAGTGGACCTAATGCCACTGAATTGTCATACATTTTTAAACAGCTAAGATAATAAATCTTATATATATTTTACCACCAAAAAAATTAACAGTTACCATATGACTCAGCAATTCTACTCCTACACATATTCTAAGGAGAAATGAAACGATATATCCACACAAAAACTTTTCAACAAATGTTCATAGCATAACAGCCAAACAATGGAATCATTCAAATATCTATCAAATGATGAAAAAATAAACAAAAGGTGATACATCCATGTGATGGAATATTATTCAGCAATAAAAAGGAATAGTGTATTGAAACATGCTACAATATAGATGAATCTTAAAAACATTGTGCTAAGTGAAAATAGCCAAACCCAAAAGGCCACATGTCATATGAATCAATTTATATAAAATAGGAAAAGCTACAGAGAAAGTAAGTAGACTAGCAGTTGGTGGGGGCTAGAAGGAGGGGATAATGAGTAATGACAACTAACAGGTATGGCTTCTTTTTTGGGGTGATAAAAATATTCAGGAATTAGATAGTGGCAATGTCTATACACTCTGTGAATATACGAAAAGCCATTAAGTTGTATATTTTAAAACAGCAAATTTTATGGCATGTGAATTATATCTCATTAAAACTATCACATATAAAAGTAAATAAGAAAATTTTTAAATATGATAGATAGTGATAAGGTCATTGGAGAAAAATTAAACAGGTAAAAGGAATAGGAAATGTCAGAGGTGGAGGTGAGGGTTATAAATCTTAGATAAGTGACCCAGCAAAAGACTGAGAAGGTGAAGGAAGAGAGCCATATGGACATCTGGGGAGTGTTCCAGGCAGAGGAAAAAACAAATGTGAAAGCCATCAGGTCGACATTTGCATTCACATTTGAAAACTACAAGGAAACCACTGAAGCTGGAGCACACAGAGAAAAGAGTGAGAAGTAGATGAGTAAGAGCAGAGAAGTGGGGGAGTGGCACAGATCATATAGGGCCCTATGTCATTGCAAGGACACTAGCCTTTACTATGATTTACGGGAAAGTACTGAAACATTTTGAACAGTAGTAACATGATCTGAATAATTAATATAATGAAGGATGGTGTAAGTGAAAGTAAGGAAAGAGTTCAGTCATGTGGCTCAAAAACATGATCCTGACCAGCATCAACCTCACTCAGTACCTTGTTAGAAATCCAATTATCTCAGGCCCTGCTCTAGATTTTGTGAACAAACAATCTCTGGGAACGGAGCCCAAGAACCTGTAGTTACATATGATTCCAGGTGATTCATATGCATATTAAAGTTTGAGACACCAAATCTAGAATAGTCTCCACTCAAATATTCAGCAGGCTCACGCTTCTCATCTCTTCTCCTTGAAGTATTTGCTCTAATGTCAACTTCTCAGGGACAAGTTAAATTTGAACCACCAGCACAACGAGACACATCATCCTATTTTATTTTTAAGATTTATCACCACCTAATTTATTATATGCTTTCATTATTTATTATGTGTTGTCTGTCTCCTCCCACTAGTAGATTAACTCCATAAGAACAACGTTGCATATTTTGTTAACTGCTCTATTTCTAATGACTAGATCAGTACTAGATATATATAGCAGACACCAAAAAAAATATTTATTGAATGAGTGAACGGCAAAAGAAAAAGATGGAAGTGTTAGATGGGAGCTAAAGTTGGACCTAATGGAGAGTAATCTACTAATCTCAGGTGGGCCTGAGATTAATCAAACTTCTATAAAGCCTATTAAGTCCATATAAGACTATGAGTTAAAGATGAAATTTTTATTGTATTTAGTTTACCGAGGATCACTCATGTCTAATGAGAAATCATTCACTCAACTATTATTAATTTGGATTTTTTCGTATGAAAAAAAGTGCTAAACAATTATGAACATGACTTCAAGGCACATATTTTACATATTGAAGAGAATTCTTTAAAACATGAGAAGCACTTATTTATGACTGCCTAAAAAATCACTTCCATACTATAAATTATTCTTATTAATTTATTAAACCAAGTCCCCCAAAAGGAGACTTGATCTACTAGCTTCCTCAGCTAGTTCAACTTGTTCTCCATGTTAACTGCATTTAATAATAAAAATAGAAATAATAACAAAGAATACTCATTGCCATTGCATACTTACTGTGTCAGGTACTACATACAACTCTGTTGGATTATTTCACTTAACCTTCCTAACACAAGCAGAAGCATCTCCACTTTTTAAAAAATGAGGAAACTGAGACATGTTTTAAAAGGTAAGTAGCTTATCCCAAGATTACAAAGTCATTAGGTAGGGACGATGTGATTCAAAACCTATGAAACTCTAATCCAGAACCCACACACTTAACCATCTCACTGTCACCACATTTATTTTGTTGCCTTTTAAAAAAAAAAATCTGTAAATCAGGTTTTTCACTAAATCAAGTGAATTAGTCAAAAATCACACCCTTACAAGTGATCTTATGCACCAGCTATTTCTCAACTTCAATCTTTCATGTACTATCATGTTAGGATTTGTCATATCCAAACATTACTGATATTATTATTTATTTGATACTATTTTTAAATTGACTTGCATATTTGGCCTTGTCCTAAGTCATATCTATAAAATTATGATATTGATACTTTTTCTTATACACATAAAGATACCTCTATTAAAAAATTTTTTAAAGTTCTATCAATATGCCATCATCTGTGTACCACCAGAAAAAAAGCTATTTCTGAACTCTTTCCTGGTATTTGTTCCAAAGTATGGTAAACAATGATTTAGAAATAGTTTTTTTACTGTTTATACATTAAGGAAAGGCTTTATTCTTTTTGTCACAGAAACATCAAGAAAAAAGACTGTCAAGGAAAATTCATTAATTTAAACAAAATCAGGATTAAAGTACTCAAAAGACATGGATAACACGAACAAGTAATTAAAGCTAAGATCAAGATACCAGAAGAAAGTGAATTTTACATCAACAGTTCTCAAGTAAAATTTCAACAGTGTCCTAAGCAATCTATTTTGTTCCTGTCAAAGAATTTATAGCTGCATAGCCAAAGATTTTTAAATTACGTACACATATCATACAAGCAAACTCTTCAGTGGCTTCTCAAAACACTCAAAGTCTGAACTATCATGTCCTAAAGGGCCCTTTATTCTCCAATCATTGTGTGCCTATTCAGCTACATCTACTGCCACTTTCCCCCTCAATCACTGTTCTAGTCATACTGAATCTCAGTTATACTCACAGTCTCACATTTATATCATGCATTTCCCTAACCCAAAGTCTAAATTCCACAATTAAATCATGTAGTTTCTCAAACTCTTTTCTGGCACTGAACTAAATTAACACTGTAGTTATCTATATCACCCCCATCTAAATGGAAGCTTCCTTGAAGTCTGGAACTATGTGTTTCTAGTTTTCCACTATAAACACATGCTTAGCATATAATAGGAACTTAATACATATGTGTTTGGTGAATGTATGAGCACTATATTACCAAGACCAAATAAAGAGCATGTGTGCATGCATTCATGTACATACCAAATACAGAAGCCACTAAATTTCCATTTGCACAGGCTTTCTAACTACCATAATAAATGTAAAGGTTTTTTTTTTCAACTTAAAGAGCCATATTATTAATATCCTTTTATAACTAAAGTAGTTAAAATTAAACTAGGAATAATCTAAAGAACATTAATATAGCAAAGTCCCTCCAAAAATGTTACTTGTGGGATAATCTAACTTATACTTACTCAAATCATCTGTTATGTCTTCAATTCCAGAAGCACTATCATCAGAATCACCAGTAGTCTCCGTACACGTTTGTTGCTTATGAGGTCGGGGTGAATTTTCCAGAGCAGATTTTTCTCCCTCTACATTATCAATATTCACTTTGTCCACAGAAGTAAAGGAGCTTGGGATTTTTTTTCCAGTCTGCTGTGATTCTGTCTGCCTCAAGTTTTCTTTCAATAGCAAACTAGGTACCTTCTCTGCTTCTGCTGCTGAACTGGGCATCTTTTCTGATTTCATTTGAGAATTGGAAGCTTTTTCTGCATTCCTCTGGGAACTATGTGCCTTTTCCACTGCTGTTGCCTGTGAACTGGGTGCCTTTTCTATTTTCACAGGTGACCTAGGTAACTTTGGTGATTTTTCTGCTTTTGCTTGTAAACTGGATGCCTTTTCTCCTTTTGCCTGTGAAACAGGTACCTTTTCTGCTTTCACCGGTGAATTAGGTAATTTTTTTGCTTTGCAGTAACTTTGATCTCGAAGAACAAACCCCAAGTCTTTAGGTCCTGGAAGAAGGGCAGCACTTACTTTAGATGATTTAACCTCTGTTTTTTCTATACAAATATCATTTTGCTTATTTTTTTTACTACTATTCCTATTTGGAGAACTGGTCCCAATTTCTCTGATTGATTTATCATTTCTAGCTTTCAAAGTCTTATTAGTTATAATTTTAACTGCTTTGCTTTCTTCAGCAAGAGCCCAAGCATTCTTCTTTGGTTCATGATTTTCATTTTTAGAGGTCGTGGACTCTTCCATTATTTGAAAACCTGATTCTTTCCAATTGTGTTAGTGTAAAATGGCAGATATCCAGTAGTTTGAATTACTTCAAATCCAGTTTAGGCAAGCAAACTATTGGGTCAAAAAAAAAAAGTTACTTCAAGTACAAAAGCCATTTTTTAAATTCATGAGACATAAAAAAGCTTTAAAAATTTGTAAAATTTTTTAAAACTCTAAAAATTTTATGAGGAGTTAAAGCTCACTTAGTAAAAGCCAAATGCTTACAAGAAGATTCTAATGTAATTATGGCAATATGACATCAAAACAAGGAACTTTTAGAAAAATGTTGTATTACATAACTCAAAATTTCAACTAGAAAGTAAATAAAAACCTGCAACTCATGCGCCACAATATAAAAGGAAATGAAACAAAGAAAGCACAAGAATACCAATATATATACAAATGGTAATCGGTTTAAAGAAGCCTAAATTAGCAAAATCTTGCCCACACTGACTTACTTCCAACTACCTGAGTTTTTGCTAAAGCATATTTTAAAAAAAGGAGGGGGGGAATAAACTTACCTATTTATGGCTCCACTGACATATCTTACTCAACTTGGATCTAGCTTTTAAAATTCCTATTTGTGGTAGTTTACATCCTCTGCCTTGATCTCTGTCTAGATTAATATTGCCTTTTACTTAAATTAAAAAAGAAACCTTATGGGTTCTTCTTTCCAAATTATTTTACAAGGTAATATTTCAAGAAATAATGATTATTAAAATTTAAGTCAGAACCATACTAGATTTTCAGCACCAATTTTTGACTAACATTATTTTCCAGTAAAAAGCTGTAGCATTTTTAATCTACAAAAGAATGTTTTTGCTCCTGGTTTTGGATATTGGAGTTTATTTAATCAACACATTTTGCTTTCATTATTCTTGATAAGGTGTTTTACAGAACTGTCAAAACAGCTGTCAAATATATGACTACACCTAAATCCTTGTAAAAACCGCCATAAGCTAATTTTAAAATAAAAACGGTTCTATTTCTAAATGATTAGTTTCACCTTAACCAGTAACTAAAGTATTTTTAACTTTCTAATGCTATTCTATGCTGACTCTTTAATATTTGTAGATGTCATCTTAATGACAAAAGTCATAAAGACTAGATATAGCAATACTGACCCACAATTCTATTCATAAAACTTTTTAGACACACTATTTCTCCACTGTATATATAAACAAAAGCTATAAAGATTTTAAAAATCAATATACTTTATATATATATAAACGCTAGTGAGGAGTTCAAGACTCAGAAAATTGCCAGGTTGCATTTTAAATGAATAACTTGTTTCATATAACTAAAAGTACATTTAAATGTTTTAATACAAACAATGCACTAAGAAAAAAACACACTATACTCATTTTCTAATCATCCCCACCTTGTCTTGTAAGAGTAGCAAATGTCCTATTGCCTCAAAAAAAAAAAGGTGTAGTAATCTTATAGCAAAACTGCTATTTTTGACATCTTCTTTTAAGGTTATCAGCAGCATAAAAATTTCCAAAAAAAGTTACAATTCCTAGAAATGAAGTTCTCTCTGAAGAGATAGGTAGGATTTAGAAAATAAGGTTCATTGCTTCTCAGGGCACACTGATGGTAAAACTGGTTGAACCAAAGAAAAACACAGACCTACTTTTTAACTCCTGGTTGCATTTTCAGAATGTGGTAAATAAGTATTAAATGAGATCTTAACCTTAAATAACCAATTAGCATAAAGAAAATACAAATAATTTTTAATGAATTTCTTGCAAAGGTGTTTGAATATAAAACTACAGCATTTAGAATGCATTCCATTTCATTTTTAAATAAATCATTAAGACATCAGTCCATTTCCTACTTTCAGTTCTAATCATGTCTTCTACTTTTCTCTTGCCTACTACAATGCTAGGTACTTAGCAGACATTCAAAATCACTAGCAATTAATAGAATATTACTCAAAATGGGGTATGTTGGGGGGACTTGATAATAGGGGAGTCTAGTAACCATAATGTTGTTCAAGTAATTGTACATTAACAATATCAAAATTCTAAAAATAATAATAACATAGAGAAAAAAAAGAATATTACTCCAGACTGAGGTCTCCACATTCCTTTTCCTGCTGTGAACTGGTCTTCATCAGAAAACTAAAATTGTTTCAAGAAAAGTTTTTTATGCCTTTCTATAATTATCCATCATTCAACTGGTGGTCTGGCCTACAAGTCCTGGGCCTAAGGGTTTAAAGAATTGAAAAGAAACACTAGCTAAGAAAGTTTACCTGAAATAACTGTTGCACCACCAATGGAGATGCTAATCAAAGGAACAGTTACCGTTCAAGTAACCCTTCCAAGGGACAGACAGGGAAACTCTTTTAAGGCATAATTACAGAAAGTTATCAGAAGCTTCTACTGCTTTTTAAAAATTTTACATACTATAAAACAAGTAGTTGAACCAGCCTATCTTTAGAGTCTACTCCAACTATAATGTTATGATTCTATGCAAATCCTTGAAACACCATTATATTGGTGTTTTACCATTATATTGGTTACCATTATATTGGTTCTGATAATTTTACTAGTTACAGAAAATTACCAGGGACCTCCCAGTCTCCATAAATACACAGTATTTGTACAAATGTTAACTAGATTTATTGGTGATCATTTCACAATTTATACAAATGCTGAATCGATGATGTACACCTGGAACTAATATATTAGATTTCAATATTACTTCAAATTTAAAAAAAAAGACAGCATTTGTAGATAATACTCTCTTACAGGGTAAAAAAGCTTATTAAGCAGAAGGAATCCACATAAACTAGGACTCCAGAGGCTGAATTACTATACATGGTGTGTGCTGAATAAATTCTAAATGAATGTATTATTAAACATTTTAAAAGTCATTAAATGATTATTAATTATATAATCTGGCATATGTCATTAGTTATTATTAACACTGAAATACACTATTAGTAGTACACCAAGTAAAATACTGATTACCTTTAAAGCAGTTCTCAAATTTTGGCAATCATTAGAACCACCTGGAGGTTCCCATTCCCAGATTTTTGGTTCAGTAGATCTGGAATGGAGCCTGAAAATTTACATCTCTAACAAGTTCCCAGGTGATGCCCATGTGACTAAACTGGGGACTACACTTAAAGAATCACTGCTCTAAGGAGTGGTCTGAAAGTAGAAGTGAAGGGAAACTATATTCTTCCCTACAGTCTTACACACAATGAAGAATTTGTCAGTCACCCCACTAGACCATAAGCTCTAAGATATAAGTAACCATTTCTGATTTTCCTTACCATTACATCTTCAGTGCCTACTGCAATGCCTAGTTCAAAGTAAGCACTCAATAAATGTGTTAAGTGGATTACTGAAAAATTAGCATTAAGTTATTTTTAATTATTGAGTTTTAAAACAAATTAAATCCAAAAGATGTTTGTCTTGCCAACAGGTTCCAGTCCCAGGCAAGTTCATTATGGATTCAATGAGACCAAAGAAATGACAGTAGAATGTTCTTGGGGTGAAAGGGTTTATACCCAACTTTATTCCCATGGTGGCAAGTCAATTACTAGAATCCCATCCACTCAGAGCAAGTCTGCATGCAGCAAGCTGGTCTCTGCCTCTGAGCCTCTCTATCCGCACAGCCATCTCAGTCTCTGTCCTTGGCGTTGCCACCACTCCAGTCTCGTTTCTGCTCTCCCTTGCAGCCATGCCACCCTGTCTCCCAGAGCACTGGGTGGAGGTTCTTTAGAGTCAGTAACAACGTATTGCCCACACATGTGTAGTGCACTAGCCGGCCAGGTGAGATTCCTGGCTATAAGAACCATCACTTTATCCATAATGTTTAATTATATAATACCTAATATTGTCTACAACGTAACTAGAATATGTCTTTCCTTCAAAAAGCTTTCCCTAATCCATCCCTCAATCCCCCACCCCACCTCTTATCACCGCCCAGGCAAGGCTCTGATAAGTCTCTATGAATTTTGTTCTTAACCTTTCTTAAGGCAATTACCACTTAACACTTATCAGGCATTTATATCCTACTGGACTCTGGGATTTTTTTTTCAATCTGCTTTTTATAAAATAAATACATTTACACAGCTGTGGATAAACTGAAGGTTCCTGTGGCCAGGATTCTCACCTGGCAGTGGTTGACTAGCTCACTGCACACCTGTGGGCAATACATGGCTGTTAACTCTAGATAAAGAGCTCTGCCCAGTGCTCTGGGTGCAACACGCAGGGCTGCAAGGCTGCAGGAGAGCAGAGCAGAGGCTGGAGTGATGGCAGCACCAAGGACAGAGGCCCAGAGGACAGCTGTGTGGGACGGCTGTGCAGGCAGAGAGGCCCAGAGGATGGCTGTGTGGGATGGCTGTGCAGGCAGAGGCCCAGAGGACGGCTGTGCAGACAGAGGGGCCCAGAGGCAGAGACCAGATTTGCTGCATGCAGACTCGTTCTGAGTGAACAGGATTTTAGTGACTGACCTGCCACCTGGAAATAAAATTGGGTATAACCCTTTCACCCCAAGAACATTTTGTTGTCAATATCTTTGGTCACACTGAATCCATGGTGAATTTTCCCGGGGCTGAAACCAACTGGCAAGACAACAGCTCAAAAAGTCAACAGCACTCACTGTAAGGCAAAGCAGTACTCTCCTAGCAACTACCAATCTCTCTCCTGAGAAGCAACTACTTTCAATTCTTTTAGTGTTTTCTTCTGAGATTTCTTTCCCTATTTCTAAATTACATGCCTATACTGACAGTTCTTATTCTATTTTAGCTTAGATACTATCTACTGACTTCCTACTATATAAGAATTTGGCTGTTTCTCACTCCCCCTAGAGACAGAATTGCACACACACATGCTCCCATCCCACCGCCATCCCCCAGGATGATTTTGATATGGCAATATTATTCATGGCTGAGCCAAATATTATACCATAGAACAGAGTTCTCTAGATGTCCATCAAAACTCTCCTTTTTCTTGGACATATGACTAGATTACATTTCCCAGCCTTCCCTGCAGTTAAGTGTGTCCTTAAAATAAAGCTGTCACATCCTCCATGCTCTCCCCTTCTCACTAGATAAA